TAGTGATGCCACAATTTTTTGGGTTGCCTCCACCGTCTGCATCATCTTGGCCATACTCTGTGTAAGGTGTTCCACAGAGTTTTCCAATTTGGGAAGGTATTGCATCTCCATTTTCAAGTTCTTCATCTCCTTTTCCATGATTTCCACTCTACTTTCTATCTTCATTGGGGCCAGCAGATCGACGTGCTCTGATACCATTTGATAAGGTTCTAATTGTAAAAGGCGGAATTCTGTAAGAATCAAAGGAGCAACAATATATTTATTGAATTAAAAGAAAATACAGCAAGAAAGGAAATAACAAATAGCCATTCGAGAGAGCTAAAACTCTCCTAAGGTCTCCCTTCTACTCACTCCCTAAAGGCTCCCTACTATGTTCATTCTCGTCTCTATTTGTAAGTGTTCTATTAACTATATTTTGCCGGATGAATTCCTCGTCTCTCTTTCATGCTTTTATAGAATGTTACAAGTTATTTTAGGATACCACGTATACAAGGAAACTAGCTAATATATACAAGGAAACGACCTAATTTTCTTTAGATAAATTACTAATATCTATAACTACTTTTCCTACGTTAGCTAGCCAACTAACAGAATTTTTTACATTCAGCTGCTTATCCATTCTTCCTGAATCTTCTAGAATATATGAAGTTAATTGGTGGCTTATCATTATCCTTTTAAGATGTGGCAACATAAATATGTTATACGGGCAGGGGAAATAAAAGGAAAAGGAAAAATCATCAGATGAAGAGGGTGTTTGGTATGCATTTTGAAATAATAAATTGATGGGAAATATGTGGTTGAAAAATAACGAAATTTTTTTGATTTATGTGTAATATTATTTTAATGAAGAATGTGTGGTTGAAAAGAAGAGAGAGAAAAATGCATTTTGAAAAAAATGGATACCAAACGAGGTCGAAAATAGCTTAGAGTATTTCTTGTGGAAACAGTAGAACTAATTGGAATTCCTTGTTATCAACCCCTTTACATGTGGAACTGAAACCAAATAGAATGGATTTTGAAGAATCTTTTGATTTAAAAGCTTATCCTATAGATGAAGAGTAATGTGCCTGTGGACACTGTTCTTTTCTTCTTTTTTGTTAATACTTAACTTGTAGTAAACTTGACAGGCCAGGAGGTTACTACTAGACCCAGCAATCCATGAAGAGTTCACACGATTGAAGGTACTTCTTTTAGACTTCCAATTCTAATGAATCTGAAGAATTTTTTACTTAACATATTATATTTCTGATGTGGATAATCTCTAATTGCTTTAATTTCATGGAGAGCCTTGTAGGTTTGTCTTTCGGTTCATTTAGAAGAGGTCTCTGCTAAAACATTTATACATGTATAACGTACTTGTAAACTAAAGTTTCTGTAGAGTTCTGTTTCTGTTTCTTGATGAATAATTAGGGACTATTCTTTTAATTAGAATGCTGCAATAGTCAATTTTTGCTTAGAGCTTTTTTATAACAATTTGGTGCTCAAACTGTGGTGTGTTAGAACTTGTGCAAATTAAAAATTGGTTTAGTTAGTGAATAAACCTTTGTATTGGGTACTTTTGAAGTAAGACAGTTCTCTTTGCTGTCAATCAAAAGCGATGATAGTCTCTTGTAATTGAATCATTTGGCATTGCTGATGGTACAGCGTAAGTTACACCTGAGACTACTGATAAGGTGGGCCACATGAATGATATATATATGCCCAGTAATGGCAGTGTGGTCTAAACCCTGGACAAGAGAAGTACATAGTATATTTGGATAAGCTAAAAAATAAGTATAAGTTTTAATTTCCGAACATCTTTGGTAAATTACTTTTTCCTTACTTTTATTCAAAAAGAAAAGTTACTTATTTGAAAGTAACTATAACCTCTGTGTGTCAAAACAATTAATTTATTCCAATTTTAATCAATTTTAAATAGATTAACCATGTTAAAACTTATTTACTTATAAGTGATCTCTTTTAAGCTTTTCTGAACATGCTCTTTCTCTAAGATTGAATATCTAATTCTTCTGGCATAATTATTGAGGCTCTCACTGAAAAGATACAGTATACTAAGATGAGCAATATCCAAATTAATTGACTGCTTCCTCATCAACAATCTAACTGTTAAGCATCACACCTGTTGTTGCTACACCGATATGTCTCAGCAATTGTAGTATGTTTCTTCCAGTGGTGAAGCAGGCAGACTGATTTGTTTCACTTTACTTTTGATAACTATTCTTTAACCCCATTTTTCTTGCCCATTGGATTGCTGGATTCACCACTTCTATTTGAGTGCCAAGTGGAGTTCCACCATTATGGACATTTCTTTGCTTTATTGATAATTCTCTAATGAATTCTTTTAGAATCTTTTTTTACGTATTTAGCATGCAGCAAAAAATGAGATCCTTTTTGTATATTTAAGCTCACTACTTTCGAACATATGCCAGAATTTGGTTGAAGAGAAGGATAAGAAAGTAAAAGAGTTGCAAGATAATATTGCTGCAGTCAATTTCACCCCACAAAGTAAAATGGGGAAGATGTTAATGGCAAAGTGCAGGACTCTGCAAGAAGAAAACGATGAGATTGGTAACCAAGCCAACGAAGGAAAGGTACAGGCAACTCATTTTGAGATTGTATCTCATCTTACACAACAAATTTAGTGATGAGATTGTATACCTACATAGTCACAACGCAGTGGTGTTAAGTCACATAATTTTGATTACCGTTACCTCTAATGCTAAAATTAGAATGGACTGAAACCCACTATTTTGCGGATGCGTAGATGTACCTGTTGTTGGCAATTCTTTTGTAGAATGACGTCTAAATTTCTTGTCCCACTGATTGATGCTCTTTTTGGTTGTTTCTGGCAGATGCACGAGCTAGCAATGAAACTTGCTCTGCAAAAATCTCAGAATGCCGAACTCAAAAGTCTATTTGAAGGTTAGCGTTTTCATAATGCAATAAAACATTCTTATGGTGCCAGTTGAAGCATATTTATTAGCATCATGCATTTGCTCAACTAAAAAAGTCTTATGTGTTACTTACTAGTGGTTGGCTACACAATCCTGTATGTCGAGTCTGCTTTATCAGGAGCCATCTTCCAAACTTAAGCTAGAAAGACTGTTCCTTTTTCACTACATTATTCAATGCGTTTGCAGGATTGTGCAAGCAAGTGGGAGGACTGACCAACGATGCGGAAAGATCAAACGAAATGGTATTCTCATAGCTGCTTCTCTATAATTTGTCAGTATTTTATACATGTTGGCATGCTACCCCGGCACATCTAGGGAAGTGGATTAATCTTGAATCCTTTTTGTTTGAAAGATAAGAGGAGAATTTAAAAATAAACCAGTAGAATGAACTTTAGAACCTAAACTAAAGGCAGTGATACAATTCTCGAGTCCCATGAACTCCTTGCATCAAAATCAAGCATTTAACTATCAAATATTAAGTTGTTCATATAGATTTGTTTATATCTGAAACAGCTTTAGCACAATTATTATTATTTTTCTGAATGAAAATAAAAGTCTGATCCCCTTGGATTTGAAATGCCCACTCAAATTTGAAAGTACATATATATATATGCTTACGTGTTCAAGTTCTCAAGTTGAATTTTATGCTTTTTGGTGAGACCCTGGTGGCCTACCAGTGGTTAGGTGCACACCAATGCCCAAATCAGTAGAACATAGTCCCGGCCTATTTGTGATTTTTCTTGTTTATTGTTCCTTGAAGTAACTAATTAGCTGAGTGCATACTCTTTAGTGAAGTCTCCTTTTACTGCAATACTGTACATCGTCATGACATAGTTAGTTATGAAATTCTGGGCTCTGAAGCCAGGCCACCAAAATCATTATGGCGTATTTGGTGAGGAATTAGATGGTATTGAGAAATATTTAGAAAGAAATAGTAGCTAGAATCTTGTTTATTATTCTTGTACAACAAAAATGAGAAATATTTAGAAAGAAATAGTAGCTAGAATCTTGTTTATCATTCTTGTCCAACAAAAATACAGTGTACTTGATGCAGTAGATCCTAGTTTGTCGATAGTTGTATTCTAATTATGATTATCGCAGGTGGTTATCTTGCAAGAGAAGCTTGAAGAAAAAGAAGACGAGATAAGAAGATTAAAGGAGGAGCTGCAACAGAAGAACGCAGTAGAGGATAAGACAGAACTATCTTCTGATAACAATGCAAAATATGAGGGAGCTCCACTGGGCGAAGTGAAAACTGAGGACTTATAAGTTAATTCTTGTATTAGTACTGTTTTTCTTCCTCGTTTTATGTACTATATAGCATGTAATTTGCTGAAATTCATCATTTCAAGGTTCATTCTATTGGTTTAATCATAATTTTGACTTTCATTAGCCGCACATTTTCATAATAGCGACTGTATAGGCATGCTAGCGACGAAAAAGTAGGGTGGTTCCACTCCATGTGTTGGGAAATACAAAACAACAGGTGATGAGGGGTGATGAGACTGGTGATCGTGATATTTTATCCTGTTCTGACCTAGGATAATAAACTCATGAGCTTAGTCCTCTACATCGAGAAATGAAAGAAGGCTTCCATCTCCAAGTAAATCGTTTTTGTGATTCAACAAAATTGGCAACTTATTTGGTTAAGAACACCCTTGACAAGGAGAAGCGTGATGAATGAAGAAACATTACCCTATTTGAGGGAAAGAGAGAGGAGTGAATCTGCTGAAAGAACTTCAAAAAATGGTTTCGAATGTATAAGTTACATGGATTAATTTAATCAAAAATGCTATTTGTAAAGAAATTTTCCTCGTAGGATTCCTTCAAACGCTTACATGAGTGGGTTCCATGGTGTAATAAAAAAATGCAAAAAAAATCACCCACTCACCCTCCCCCTTGTGAGTATTCTATGGTTGTTCGGTGAAAAATGCTCTCTATACACACATCACTCTAATTTAATTAGGTACCAATTGCACCAAAAAACACCGGACTGGAATAAAGTAATTCTCATCGTGTTCCTGCAATCTTATGAGGCCAAAGAAAGGTACAAGAAAAACATTGAATTTTCAAACATTGGAAGAGAGATTATAAACTTCAAGGCCTTGATATAACACGAATAGTTCTTACATAAATTTGAGTCAAAATATCCCGTGAAGTAAGAATTTCTAATATGAGCAAGGGGAATCCGTTGATTGAATCCATTCCAGATGATGTGCCGCTAACAAGGCCTACCTATTCTCCTGGATTCGGTGCCCCCTCATAGTCTGATTTGAGGTCACTGTAATAAAAGTTAAGAGAAAACCTCCTGGCGACATCTAGTTAATCCATGATCTTTGGTATTGAAGTTGAAGGACCTGAGAAAATGTGTCCTCTCTGGTATGGGATCTTGTTGAGAGACGAATCCTTGTTAGTAAACGGTTCTGATGGCCGAGTTGCGTGAGGAAGAATTCCAGCTGCCTGTTTCTCTCTATTGGATGCCCAAGTGACCAAATACAGTCCAGATATAATTAGAAGTCCTCCCAAAATGCTGTTCACAAGAATAAGTTAAAAATGGCCCCATAAAATGACGAGAAAGAACGAATAAACTGTTGAACATGGAAGCGTAGAGGGTATTCATCATAGGTGCATGATAACGTTCTTAAATGAATTGATTAGCACCTAATACCAAAAATGAAGAGGAAAATCTTAAGAGTGTACCTTCCCAAATAAATAGGGCTTCCAAGGAAAATTCTTGATAGGAATGCGGACAAAGCAGGTTGAAGCGGCATATACAAAGCAACCAAGGCAGGGCCAAGAATCTTATTTGACCATGTCAAAAGCCCATAGTTCAGAGCAGATGCTACAATTCCCTGTAAGGAAAATTTATAAAGCAGTGGGTGCTTAATTGATTCACATAATTGAACACAAGGGAAGTAAATATCAAGTCATTTATCAATACTAACAGGTGCTTTTGAAGGAGCTCCGATCACCAAATGAGATCATATGCAAAATTTGAAAATTGAAAATAGAGAAAAAGTTTTACAATAAGTCTATTTTAGTAGAACAATACTAATATAAAATCACCAAAAAAAAAAAAAAAAAAAGGGAGAGGAAGAAGGAAGGAGCAAGAAGTCTTGATCAAGTAAGGATATGGTAATTTTAAAATATGGGGAACTCATATTAACACTCCAAAATCTCTGTTCACTCACCTTGCCCCTATTTGGTTTAGCTAAATATAAGATTTTTTGTAGGTTATGATTAAAATTTGATGAAATGTGTGGTTGAAAATAAAGTTGATAAAAGTTATGAGATCCATGAAATGTGTGATTAAAATAAATTGTTAACTTTGAATAAAATTTTTATCAACTTTTTTAATTAAATCAAACAGGGGCCTCGTTTCAACATCCACCACCCAATGCTAAAACTAAGTTATTCCATATACCCCCAATATTCCGGAATCACCGCCAAAAATTCTCCTTGGTACTCTCAACCCCATCACCACCTTCCACCGCCATAACCCCAAATTAACTTTTCTAGATCCTCTCAAACAGAATATATTCAAAATTCCAACCAGCATCAAGTTATTTACTCGTGCTTAATTGAATGAAATGAAACTAAGAAAAAGATCAAATTCATCCCTCCAAGTGAGATATAGTACTAACAGAATGGAAAATAACAATTTTGTCAATGGGGAAAATTTCTCTCGAGCCATCTGAACGGCAGAATGAAATTAACTTGTATGGGTACCTGAATATGATTTGAGGCTTCAAAAGGAAAACACAGGTACGTAAACATATTTCCATAAATAAAGAATTATTGTTATCTCACCTTTTGTGTTGAAATAAATAATTCAACAGAGTAATTGAGTAAGACATAGAAACTTCTATTATCTCTAAAGAATGACTGTAGTGATCCTTGAATCTCTAATTCTTCATTTTAGTTTTAAATGTTAAATAGCTTCTAGATAATTTTTTTCTAGAAATTTAAGTATTTAGTTACAACTTGAAAGCAACGTACTCATTATGATCAAACATTCATGGCACATAATTTTTGTAACTAGTATCGATATGATAGACAGCCGGATACTGCTTAATATTTTCAAGAAGCTATCAGATACTGCTTAACATTTCAACTTGTCATATCATCCACCTTAATTTATGTTCAAACCAACTAACATGTCTAAATTCATTAACACATATTCTTATTTCTTAATTTATTTGGTTTTATATGCTCGTAACATCCTCCCTTCCACTACAGTAATTGATTAATTTTGTTCTTTAGCGGTTTCACTCATCTCCTCCATTCATTCTTTAACAAATTAAGCAATTTCTGTTTCAGAAAAAATAGCAAAAAAATTAGCAGTAAACTCCCTTGCTTTTCTAGCCACAGTATGAAAATATAAAAGAAATGTAAGTAACTTACAGCATAGGACACAGCAAAAGCCTCAGATTGTGTCAAATTCCAGTCAGTGGACTCATTCGTCATAAAGAATGCAGTTACCACCATAAAGAATACACCAAAGAAGTATGAATATGCTGTCACTGATATGCTTGCAGGATATTGGACTAGAACTGGAGCCTGAAACATACATAAGAAGGGGAGGTAAAGCTCTACAAACTACAATTGGCCATATATAATAAAAATATATATAGATAACCAAAAAGAAGTGGCAGACCTATATTTTCATGAAGAAAATTAGAGTTTCTGACCTTTTTTCAGAAGTAAATCCCAATACACTACTAAAATTACAGCCAAAATATGGTATAGACCTATATTTTCATGAAGAAAATTAGAGTTTCTGACCTTTTTTCAGAAGTAAATCCCAATACACTACTAAAATTACAGCCAAAATATGGTATAGACCTATATTTTCATGAAGAAAATTAGAGTTTCTGACCTTTTTTCAGAAGTAAATCCCAATACACTACTAAAATTACAGCCAAAATATGGTAAACCAGAAATGCAATTTCCAAATTTGGGTTTAAAGAATCAACAATCATTTGAAACTCAAAAGTATATGGTGTTACAATTTTCTTTTCTGAAAATGTAAATGAACAGAAATTGAGAGAGATTCTGATGAATGTAAAAGTGCATTAAATGAGAGCTATCTAGCGTTTGTGAAATTGTTTAATCACACTCTGGAGAAGACAAAGATAGCAACAAGAAAAATAACCTCTCAAAATTGAAGCCATGGCCAGTTGAAGGCAATGATGTGAAGAAATAATAACTGTTGATATATGGTGTAACATCTTAAAAACAAAACGAATCCCTAGAAACAGGAAATTGGGCAGACCAGATAGGTTAACCAATAAATCAAAAATTATGTTCAGACCACTTAAATTGACCAAATTAACACGTGCCTGTAAAAACCATTGTCCATTAAAAATATGAAACCACGATGTGAATGTTAACTGGAAAGGAAAGAAGCTAGTTGAATTTCAAAACTAACTATTCATACCTGAATGGCTAGATAAGCTGCCATGCACATGCAATTCCCAATTAAGCATAAAACACCAAGGTTCCAATTATCAATCCCTAATTCCAGAAAACTAGACAATAACCATCCAACAGGCTCAGGCTGACCCTTGGCACTTATTTCAATTTGAGCTGCAAATTCTGATTCCTTATATCCAAACGCAGCAGGACCACGGAACATAGCCATTAAAATGGCACCACAAATACACACAATAGTACCTCCTAACTTAGCTTGACCTTCAGTTCTTCGCAAATTCACTGTTTCTGTACTGCATAATGAATAAAGAAATGTGGTGATGCACAGTCACAATATATAAGGATCATATATACACACATAAAGGAAATGGATAAGAATCTGACTCTCATATATGTAAAGGGCGCACCCAAATGCACAACAAGCATACACAAAGGAGGGTGGGGTGAGATAATACAGAACATGCAAGAGAGGGAGACAGGGCAACATAAATAGAGTAGACTGACCCCATTATCACAGCTAATACAAATGTAAAGACTGGAATAGCAGGCTGAATGGCTGCAGCATAACTTGGATTTGTGTAGCCCAGACCAATGAGAAACAAAAGTTGGTTTCCAAAAATCCTATTCAATTACCAATGTAAAGGAAAAAGATGAAGAAAATCAGTAGTACTGCAGTTCACGAAATATCAGCCTAAAAAGCATTGGAGATATTAAACTCACCCAGTTAAACCAAGAAAGAAGAATGATATAACAAGGCGTCTATTCAGAGGTGGTCTTAGCCTTCTGCAAAATAGGAAGTAGAAGATTAGTAAGTGATGCACTATTTATAACACCACAAAAAAGTACAGCTAAAGAAATTATAGAATGAAATATTTGTTAGGAATGAGCTAGGAAATTAGTTACCGCTTCGTGTAATAACCCAACTTTTGAATGAGAGTTATTTTCTAATTTCTATGTAAATAACTTGCTACGTTATTACTTGGATAATTTAAATGTCTAGAGAGAGATTGCATAGACAGAAGATACAAATCATCATTTTTAGCAACTTTATTACTTCATAGGCCATATTAGTTCACAAGCCGGTAAAATGAGATTCTGGGATTAAGCCCCTGTTTGACAGCCCTTTTTTGTAAATAATGAGTTTTTGAATAGTAATTTTTTAGAGAACGTATGGTTAAAAAGAATGGAAAAGTTTTGGGTTTACGTGAAAAATATTTTATTGTCAGAATGTGTGGTTAAAAATAAGTATAAGAAAAAAGAGTTTGAAAGAATGGTTACCAAGCAGGGGCTAAGTTTGTAGAATATAAAACACATTGAACAGGGCACGAAGATAAATATTTTCTTTAAACTACAATAACCAAGATTGATTTCCTCCCATTGACAATATTTATGTCAGTTATTAGTGGTGAAAAAATAACAAATTGGAATTATAATATTCCCTATGAAAGATATGTTACAACCTAAGTCATTTTGCCCTTAGTTTATCCTCAATCGATATCATCTCTACTTGTTGGCGTATAAACTCATTTCTTATCTTATTGTTCTAGCACGCTATAAATCAATTTTAGCATCCTCATTTCCACTCCATCTTATGGACATTTAGTTATTCAATAGTCCAACACTTGGTACCATAACACGCAACGCACCTAATAAATACGTTTCTGCCTTCTACTACATAGGAGTTGTTCAATATCCTCGATAACTTAAACAATTAATTTTTATATGATTGTGGAAATGTAAATCCTCAATATACACCATGATATTCTAGTGAGGTATTTTATTGGGTATGGTCATTAACTCATAATGATTAGTTGGTTAAAACAAAATTTACAATTATATTATTTTACTGTAAGTGTAGAAGAATCCTATAGAGAATGTATGATTAATAAGAATTTTCTCAATGTCCTCTTTCAAGGTACCTACTATTCATTATTCTTAATTGCATATTGAAGAATTGATTAAATTAACTAATACGTGAAATTTTGAAATCGATTCAAACTAAGGCCCTGTTTGATATGGTTCATTTTCCATTTTCCACCTTTTCGGAGTGTTTGATGGCAAAAATTTTTCCTAGCAACTTCTTCCCCTTCCCCACGTGATGGATTTTCCATGAATTGGTGTAAAACCAATTCTCATGGTTTTGGTGAAAATTGGTTTTCCACCCTTTATGTCCCTATCTCTTGTGTGGAGCCCGTAACGACTATATTTTTCATTATCATTCTTACATTAATGTGGCTCAAATAGGGCCTACATATATTTTTTATTTTTTAAGCAAATTCTATTTATAATTGTAATAAATTATATCTTTTTAATTGACAATTGTCAAGAAAAACAAAGTCAAACGAACATCAAAAGATACAAAATTTCAACATTTTCTAAGTGAAAATTATACCAATCAAATAGATTTAATTTAATTGACAATTTCCAAGAAAACAAGTTCCCGACAATTCAATTCCCTAGAATTCGTTTTTTTTTCCACCCAAATTTCATTCTTACAATCAAATAGAACCTAGGTAAAAGATAATCTTTATTGGATTAAGATGAAATCAATGTAAGTATCACTCATCCCATATCAAGAAAGAAGAACTTGGTCCAGCTGCAGTAGTCAGTACAATGCCAAGGCACTAAGTTCCTTCAGAGACCAACACAGCTCTACCTAGAATTTCTGACATAGTGACATTCAACTGAAGCAAGTCCGATAATAAACACAGGGAATGGTACATATGGAAAGTTAGATGTCACACTATATCGTAGACGACACCACTTATGCTACACCTACA